TATTTATTCTATTCTATTCTAATTATTCAGAGGCAACTAAGAAAATCAGTATTACAGAACAATATACATAGAGTGCTCTCACTTGGGGAGGAGAGAGAGCATTGTATCTACATTTGTTAAAAGCATCTCTGGACACACACATATGTTGTTAAAACACACACACATGTTAACCATTAACCATGGGCCCAGCCAAGAAGACACTGGAGGAGTGTGGTACAAGCTGCGAAACTGAAGCTGCTCCAAATCCTAGCTCTGCCACTTAGTAACTGGGCGACTGTGGGCCCGTGGCTGGGCCTCTCTGAGCCTGGGCCACCTCATCAGCGAGCCAGAACTTGCATGTCAATACGTGTGTGTAGACTATCTGGCATGTGTTTCTGAGAAAAGCTCTTTCTGGTCCTCACTCCCCTCTCCCTCTGCTTCAAGTGTCCAGACAGAGTGACGGAGGGACGCAGGGACACAGGGACATTGAAGGAGGTAACGATGGGTTTCTGCACCGGGCAGCCAGGCAAGAAACCAGGGCCTCACCTTTCTCAGGAGAATCTTCCTCAGTGTCCGCAGCCTTTGGCCCCTGGTGGATCCCTGGGAAGAGAAGGCACAGTGAGTGGTTCCAATGCCCTGAGGCCCCTCTCCTAACTTGAAGAAAAAAGTGGCGCCCTAGGTGAGTGCCAGCCAGAAAGAGCAACCGATCCCATCAGTTCAGTTTTACCAGAAAGGGGCAGGCAAAGAGGTGGTCACAACCAAGAACCTCAAAGCCACAGTCCAGAGCCTGCATTCCAGCTCAGCTCCTTTGCAGGAAGTCCTTTCACCTCTCCAGACCTCAGTTCCCACATCTGAAAAAAAAGAGGCTAACCATGCCCACTCCATGCTAAATCACGGGAACAATGAAGGAGACAATGAATCAGAAGCACTTGGCAAAGCCCTTATTAGTGGTGCCATTCTGACTCCATTGCTCGGGAAGCTGGTGGACTCGAAAGCAAGGAATGTCTAGCTCCAAGCCAAGGGGTGAGAGAGAGGGGTAGGTTTTCAAGAAAAATCAGAAAGGACGGGAGGGCCAGGGGTTGAGACAGAATTATCTGTCAGTCTGTACATTAGGAGAACGATATGTTGTTGTTGTTATGTGCCATCGAGTTGTTTACGACTCATAGCAACCCTATGTACAACAGCCCTAACCCTGCTCTATCCTGTGCCAATC